AGGCAAGTTAACTAGCAAATACTTTTTTGTTTTTAACCCGCTACCTACGACCTTCTCCACTCTACCTGTGGCTTATCGCAGAGTCCGCCTTAAATGCAGAAATATCACGGCTACATACTATAATAACTTAAGAGTATTCTCACCACTTCTTTATTTTAGCGTTAGTAGTGTTAGTTATTTTAGAGTTTTTTATGATACAACATGCTTATTTCAGGTCACATCCACGCAACAAAAGATGGGGATGGGGTTGGGGATGGAGTAGACCGTGGATGTACGGATATCCATATGGGATTATGGGCTATCCATACGGAGGCTTCGGCTATCCCTACGGTGGTCTTGGTTATGGTCTTGGAGGATATCCATACGGCATGATGGGCATGATGGGTTATCCTTACGGTGGATTGGGCATGTTATACGGATGATTTTACATAGTTGTTGTAATGAAAATAATTAATTTACTGTATTTTTGTTTGCCACCTACGTTTATTTTTGATCTGGAGCTTTGAAGATGAACATTTCTATATCGCGTGAATAAAAAAGATATTCAGTTGTTGTAAGGTTGTATGAATTCTCACTACTTTTTTTCGTCCTCGCTCTTCAGTTTGCTGAATAAATAATACTCTAGACGCATTCCGTGCCTGTTCCATTTTATCAGAAATAAATATTCGTATAATTAAATAAAAGGTAGATATAAAAATATCGGCAACAAATGAAAAATGCCTGCGATCACTCGGCATGTTCCCTTTTCATTATTAGGAAATGCATGGCCTGTGCGAGCTCCTGACTATTGCATGCTTGAAGGCTGGCCAGAAACCCTGCTCCTTATTACTAGCAATGTTCATCTAGTGAAATCTTTGCGAGGTAGCCCCTTTTGTACACCTCATGTGTACTGTTGTACGGCCCCTGCTCCCCTTGTCGCGTCTCTCGCCCTCGCCGAGCGTTTCCGCATCTCTGCCCACAAGCCGCAACATTAAAAATGAACCAGTTTCTGACTTGAATATTTTTGACGAGTATGTAACAAGAGAATCGTTACGCGCTGCGCCAATGGGCGTCGCGTGCGGCGTCGCGTGCGACGTCGCACCCGCTAATGACGACGATTTTAGGTGGTATTGGTCGAGAATAGACAATGTATGACCAAAAATAGACATAAGTGTCCATCATATTCTTGTCCACATGAAATCCGGATGCTCGAATCGAAAGGGTGGTTTAAACTAAGGGAACGCCGCGCCCACTGCCGCATGCGATAAAGCGGAAATTACGATTCTCTTGCCCATCCCCCACTTTCGATGACATTTTTGAATTTCTTCATGGCGAGTCAATTAGCACCCACGTGGCATGACTATGTTCCCACCACGAACGTTTTTGCAGTGAACCAATCAAAAGCAAGC